CAGCTTAGAGGGAACACTGGGCGGGAGCCAGCTAGCATATCAATATGTTTCTGCTTCATATCAGATTTTTTTTCTAGGTCTGAGTATATTTATTTGATGTCTCTACAGAGGGACTGTGAACAGTTTCCACTGCGTAATCCGCTTTGAATCTCTGTGAGAAAGCCGGACTAGAAATACAGTTTATAAAGAAATAACCCCCAGTTTACTTTTCTGGGGGTGCACAAGACAACGGCATACTGATGCTTATTTGACACAACTTGCATCTGTAATCCCTCGCATCTGTCAGTGTGAGAGGTCTGTGTGTTTTTAAAGAAGGCCCAAGTTTCTAGACCTCATGAGGGTTGCCAGGATTTCTTATGGAGAGTGACGTGTGTATTGTTATCCAGCATAGAGGTGTGCCTTCTTTATAATTTGCGTGGCTTCTAGATTGAATTGAGGGGGAATGGGAGACAGTTTGTGGAGACCAATGCTCCCTCTAAGCTGTGGAGTCTTGTGAGCAAAAATTCTACTTTGTGAGCTCCTGGCATTAAAGTTTTGAGCAAGCGATTTGGCTGCTGCATAAGTTGGTTTGCTCTGGAGCCCTCCTTCCTGGGCGAAGACAAAAATGTGTGAACCGGAGGCTGAAAAACTGTGAGCTAGCTCACACTAACTCATCTTAGTGAGAACACTGGTGGAGACTACTTATGAAGATCTGCGGTATATAGAATGGGCCTGCTGGATCCAGTACCGGAGTAGCAGCCCTTCAAACTCTTGGGGTAGAGAAGCGTCTGTCCATGCAATGAGAGTCAAACTCTGAAATGGGAAACAAAGATTTTATAAGCCTTGTAGTACTAAAGTAGTAATTTAGCCATAGAACACGGGAAATTAAGGGTGGAAATCGGAACTGTTGGCTGTTGTCCAATGGGGAAATCCCTGTTGGTTTTCCAGTTAGAAATATGCAAGGGATTTCCTGTTGGAGGAAATTAGTTTCTGAAAAGCTTTCATTTCAAAGAACTATTAGGGAATGAGGAATCCCGTTCTTTGAAATGGCACCTGGTTTCAAGATGATTTCTCTCCCCCCCCCCCCGGATGAAAAACTAGAATCCACAAATAACTGGAAATCACTGGCAATTTTTTTGGAAACTCCCTGTCCACCATTTAAAAAAAATTTATCCCCAGTGGGGCTCCAAAACACCTTCCGTAGTTCTCCTCTCCTTTATTTCATCCGCACAACTAATCTATGAGCTAGGTTAGACTGAGAGGGTGTGACCAGTCTATGGTCACTCAGCGAGCTTCCATGGCAGAGTGGGAATTTGAATTCAGATCTCTCCGACTCTGGTCTGACCCTCTAACCACTGTACCACGCTGGCCGTCTCATTGATCCAGGGAGGAATTCCAGCTGGCACAAAAAGTGGAACTGGACATCAACAATGTGGTTTGGTTTTCCGCGTACAGTAGTGTGGCTTCCCTAAAAGGAAATAATGCAACTCCAACGCATTACTCATTGCGGAGGGGGCAGTGTTACTCAGGAGGCTGAGAAACTTTGGCTTCGCGGGTCGCAAGGAAAGAAACAGCTGGCAGAGTAGCCCCCCTGCCAGCCCCCTCCCCGCCCTGTGAGGGGGCTTCCCTGGAAATCGGCTCTTCCTTCCCTGCTTTTGGAAACTCCCTTCAACAAAGCCATATGAGGATCTGTGCACTCCTAGCAGGGGGAGCGAGATGAAGGCTGAATTTTCGGCGAAGGTGTGAATTTTCGGCTCCCTTCATCAAAGCCATGTGAAGATCTGTGCACTTCTAGCAGGGGAGCGAGACGAAGGCTGAATTTTCGGCGAAGGCTAAATTTTCGGCGAAGGTGTGAATTTTCGGCTGGTGGAAGCCTTCTCGTTGGGGATTCGGTAGGTGAGGCTCTGTCCGCTTTGAGAGTCCTGTGTTTTGGGGAGGGGAAGTATACAGCGCATGTTCAGATACACGACATCCGGACAAGAAAGTTTTGTGGCCGTGACTTGGGGAGCACGCATATGTTTTGCATGCACAAGGTCCTGAGTTTAAATTCCAGTTTAAAGGATTTGGGACGTTGGGGAAACTCTCTGGAGAGCCTCTGCCTGTCTGGAACAAAAATAAAAATAAATCAAGTATAGGCTGATGGGTTCTGAACTTGCTGAGACGGAGAGGGGAAAAGTGTGCTGCAGCAGTGAGGGAAAAAATGCTAGGGAATTATTAGGAAAGGGATTGAGAATAAACCAGCCGATATTGTAATGGCCCTGTATAGATCTATGGTGCAGCTGCATTTGGAATACTGAGGAATTTCACATTACCCTTTTTAACCCATTTTGAAGCCGTTTTTGATCTGTCATGGAGTAAACCGGTATAGGGCTGCCATTTCACACATGGCTTTCCCCTTCCGGTAAAGAGCTGGATCCAAAGTGGTTTGCCATTTCAGACTGCACCGCTTTTCCCCCACCGTTTTTCGCCTGTGTGGGCCATCTCCAGCTTTTTTGGGGGGGGAACATTTGCTTTAGAGCGCTATAGCACTATAACAAAACACTCCAGGCATTCCAATGGGATTGATATAATGCTGTTGCGCTATAGCGCTATAACGCTATGAAGTGAACGTTAAAAAAAAAAGGCAGAGATTGCCTGCGCAGGTGAAAAATGGCGGGGGGAAAGCGCATCGGAACCGGGAGAGGAAACTGAAGACTACTTGGAAGCGGTTGACAGGTAAAACGCTTCAGCCCCGTTTCGTAAACGGGACAGAAGCGTTTGTGTCTGAAATTACAAATATATTCCGGTAGGGAACTGGTTCTAAAACAGTTCTGTCTGAAATGACAGACCAGAAACCGTTTGGGAACCGTTCCTCTTCCGGATTATATTGTCTGTCTGAAATTCCTCACTGTGTTTGGTCACCGTATCACAAAAAGGACATTCCCTTGGCTCGAAACGGTTTCCTTCCAAGGACATTGCAGAGCTGGAAAAAAATGCAAGAGGATTAGGGTGTTGGAGCATTGCCCCTGTGAGGAAAGACTGAAGGGTCAGGGACTTTTAAATTTAGAAAAAGAGATGACGGGGGGGGCATGAGAGAAGTGTATAGAATGATGCATGGTGTGGAGAGAGTTGA